CTCCTCCTTTGCTTGTCCCTCCCCCCCTCCCAGTTATTTTTGGAGAAGTGGCTAGCACTTGATCTGCTACTTGCCTATTCCAGTCTATTCCAGAAAGTCGAAATCCTCTCGGTTTGTTGTGGATTTTTGATTTGCCAATTTTTTGTTAAATTAGTTGACGTCAGCGCGCTTAGAAAAAAAAAATTGAGTTAACTTAAATGATAATTTTTGTTTAAAGCTGCAGCAGTTCCTCAGAAGCCAGCGAAAGATGTTGTATCAGGTTGGTTGATAGATGTTTACTCCGTGTCCAATCCCCCCCCCACCCCCAAAACAACAGTGGATTCATTATTCTTATCTTCTAATTAGACCTTAAGAATCTCTTTGGAAAGAATCGTCCACGTGAACCAAGCCTTGAAGGTTTGTAGTAGACGCTCGATTCACTGCACATAATTTCAAAATTTTAGTTAGCCAATCAGCATGCCCGTAATCCTTATTTCGTGATGATGGATCTTTTATTTTCTCTTTTTTTCCTCCCATTGAATCACCCAGAACCTCAAGTATCTAACAATTCTCAGGACTCGTCATTGGAGGGTGTGTCTGTAACTCTAAATCAATAGATTGATTTAGAAGATCAATAATTTTTTAGTTTGACTAGCCCTGATCACAGCACGATCTGTGATAGTTTTCAGCAAAAAGACAATTCACTTATTAATTAAATTTTTTTATTGAGAGTGATTGAATCTCTTAGAGCATGCTTAAGATTCCACTTCTAATGAAATGATGATTTGAAACTTTGGAACATAATATTTATAGAACCACCTCTATCACCGCAAAAAGACTTCAAGCCGCAGAATGCACCCTGGGGTATGTCTCTAGGCTTTCTCTTCCATTTACTCTTTTTTCTTCTAATTCATCGAAATGTCAACTTAAACCTCTCCCTCTTCTGACGACTTTATCTAGCTCCGAAAGGTAAGTATCAGTGTCATCCGCATGTAAGATCTCGTATAGAGTTCATTCAGCAAATGACAATTCTCAAATTACCCGCATGTACTAGTAATCTCAAATTAAAACAAATTTCAGAAAAGAAAAAAGATTTGCAATAAGTTTCTCATGGGCGAAGAGCTCTTTGTTTCTGTTCCTCATGCCATTGGCTTTTCATTATGTAAAAGAGCTTTGCCTGCTAAAAACTGGATCATTTTGGGAATTTGGTTTTTTCATTATCGCCTTTCTCTTTCCGTTACTCCTGCTTCGTTCATTTTCTTTGATCAAGTTGCGAAGTTCATAATCTAATCCAACGATCTTGAGACGACCATAAACTTAACTTTTAGAAGAGCCAATTAGCCCGAGTAAACGTCCGAACAACCAAAACGCCCCACAATGGCCAGGTTTGTTTAAAAATCATGGACACAAATTTTGGTTTCAGCATGGCTTCCTTCGATAGTACCCGCCTTTGTTTTCTTTTATTACCCTTTGACAACGGATGCATGAAATATTCTCGTTTGGCCAATCAACTAATGCCCTTGAGGGGGTGAACAATGTCAACGTTCTTTTCTTCATTCACTTCTTTGCCGTTTTTAATGAGTTTACGCGTTGTAAAGGCCGTTTTTGATTGGTCAATTTTTTGGTCATATTTCAGCCTGTGATGCCAAGCAAGCCTATGCCACTGGTAGAGGTATTCAACCGCATGGAGTTAGAGTTCGTGACCTTGCCGACTTCAAAGTTCACACTGAAGATGCCGGGGAAGGTGTTCTAGAAGCCACTGTTGTTGGTCCGAGTAAGTCGAATTTCTCCCTTCACCTAATAAAGTCGTATACACAAATGGTGCTTAACATGATTCTCTTCTCTTAAAAAGATGGACGTGAAGAGAAGTGCCAACAGAGGAAGATTGGACCTTACACCTACGAATGCGTCTACACTCCACAAGTTGCAGGACCTCACACTGTAAATGTCCGCTATGGCGGCGATCACATCATGTTGAGTCCTTTCAAGGTCAGTTTTATGCTTGCCCATTAATTAATTTCGTAATGCCTCACATGATTGGATGGTTGGATGACTCATCACTTAAAATATGCTGGGCTAATTGAGAAGGCGCGAAAAATACTTAAACAGCATTGACTTTTTAAATGCCCATAACAACCACTTTGCCTCTCTACTGTTAGGCCTATTATTAATGGAACTAGCAGAGGAAAAGCACACGAATTAGCAAAAGAGGAAAATGTCGAAATGTGCCCAATGTTTATTTTTTTATTTATTTCAAATGGCGGGCTTTAGGGCACTTATCATCAGCCCTTTATTTGACTTCAGGCTTCATGGAGGGGAAGGAACATCAAAGGGAATAAAAGTCGAGATGGAGGGTGGGAACAGAAGAGTGATTCACAGATGAAAAGAGAGAGACAGACACAAAGGCAGAGAAAAGGTAAGATGAGTACTGTGGAAGTGGTCGAATATGACATTCAGTGGGGTTATGGTAGTTTGAAGTCAGAAGTCAACTGCCGGGTTATAAAACTTTTTTTGCCGTATGAGAATACGTTGCCCAGGATGCACCACGTGGAGGTGAGTCTATCGCACACCCCATTGATAAGGTAATAAAAGGCGTGTGAGGGTGGTGTGGCCTCTAACGTGCACTTCTTCGATATGATTGGTCACTGAATTGGCTGAATAGTCAACCGCATTGATCAAAATTGGCCAATAAAGACTCTAGTTTCTTATCATCGCCCTTTGTATTTGCTCATTCTCAGCATAGAGTGGATTGAGTAATGTCGAGTAATTAGAATCAGTCCTACTGGGATCTAATATGTGAGTTTTAAAGCCTTTGTGGTGCACTATCGAAAAGTGCCAATAGAAAAATTTCTTCCGCTATTGCCAAAAAAACAAACTTGATGCTTCTTGCAGTTACTAAGTTGAAAATTTATTTTCCCGTGAAACCCAAAAAATTTCAAATTCTGCATAGAATTGGTGAAGCAATTTAAAGCAAGACATATTAACCATCATTCAGTTAATAGAGTGAAGATTGCATGTTAACTCCGAAACAAAAATTTCAACCAGACGATCGATATCTATTGTATTTTACGTCTTCCTTTAAGGTCGATGTTGGACCCTACAAGGAGACACGAATCCGCGCATTTGGACCGGGTTTGATCAGTGGAATCGTCAATAAACCTGCGGTCTTTGTTGTTGAAACGAATGGCGAGACAGGAGCACTTGGTATGTACCCAAAACCACCTTGTAATGCGACTAGGCAATTTAGACCCCCTTTTTAATCGATTTCCCATTCGCCATTAAACGTTTCGCACCATTTACCGTCTTTATTTTCAAGAAATGGAATAAGATTATCATTTGAAATAAGTGACATTATGTTTTAAAATAAAGATTAAATATTGTTAGCCCTGAACTAGGGTACTTGATTGATTTGATCGATTGAAGACCAGGCAGTTGCCGTATCGATTTCAGTTTTGTTCATACGTCTTGCCTAAATTGGCTATCAAGTTGGCCAGATCAGACTGAATCAGTTTTATCGACAGCTTTGCGTGTGCCTCATTCCAAATCCCTTGACACAATCAAGCGAAGTTTTCACTATGAAGTGAACTGTCCCACTTGTACTTCCTACTTTTCATGTGAAAAATCCGGTGACTTGATTCCAGATCATTTCCCGCCGATCTAATCTTCTTCTTATCAGTTGACAGATCATGTTGAGTGGACAATCAAACAATGCCCTCTTATCTCACTTTCAGCTTAATCTGGAGTCCATACATTTGCTATCTCCTTTACGCACGCCTTCCAGTAAAAAACTATAGAGTATTCACATGAAGTTATCTTTGCCAAGTCTTTTGGCTTGCGGTTCTAGAGGTGTCCTCTGACGAAGGTGAGTTCTTCCTCTGTCCAGAATCTGGGTCTGTATTGAAATTGAGATAAAAAGCATGAAATATAAATGGACGTACGATCATTCATACCCACATGTAAGAACTCGAGTACATCATATGGTTGAAGTATAATTCGGATAACCTTGCCACTATAAGTATCATATGTGGTCTGAGAACATTCTTTCCACTAGGATTCTCAATTGAGGGACCAAGCGAAGCTCGCATCGACTGTGCAGACAACGGGGATGGATCGGCAACTGTCGTCTACTGGCCCACAGTTCCAGGCGAATACGCTGTCCACATTCTCTGCAACGACGAGAACATTCCAAAGTCTCCGTACATGGTGCCGATTTCTGCTGATACAGGCAAATGCGATCCTAATGCTGTGAGTTTATTGCGTCATTTACTTCCAGTGTTTTTTTTTAAAAATTACTCCTCACTTCCCTGAAGATCTTCAACTTGGTCCAGTTTTTGGCATTTTTCTCGGCATGCTGTGCAGTCCAGATTGGTTCTTCTCTAGGAAAACCTTCCACTTCCCTTAAATCCTCCTATAGTTGTCCTGCTGAATCCACAGTGGTTATGCTTTTATTAGCCATAGATATTTTTTAGTATTGTGATGAAAAACTATATAAAATTATTTCTCTTTCGAATTGCTCTAACCTGGCGCTTTCAAACAAAAGAATCTGTCCCATTGTGAACGTCAAAACTATCTCACTTTCTCAATCAGTAAGTGAATAATTAATTAATCCTTGACACTGTGAAGACGAATTCTCTCAGTAATCTAGCGAATACCTTTTTGATTTCTGAATTTGGAGGTGCAAAGCATTCCCCAATTCAGTAAATAAATATCTCGCAACATCTATTCAAACGAATAGAAGGAGTAAGACCCAATTTTTAACCTCCATTCAGCTCTTGCTGGATTACCAATTGGGGGGATTTACAGCTCATTTCAAGTGATGAAAGGAGGTATATTTGCTAGATGATTGATGTTAATTTTTATACGACTTGCGAAAATGAATTTCAACGTGGAAGGAAATTAAGGCGTCAGTTAAGGTATCTCTCATTTCAATTAACGCAGGAACACCTGCATCCCAATAGGGGGGGAATTATTTTTCCCACTGATCTTGCTTATTAAAGTACTTCTTGTCAAACTTGGAGGACAAACAGGTCATTGGGATGGGAGTGATGGTAGGTAAACTCTCTCCGATTTCCCAAAATAACCAGGGCGTGTATCAACAACTAAGTTTGGAGTAAATATTCAATATGCCTTACGTGTTTTTTTTATTTGGGAGCAGATGAATGATTTTAGGTGATGGATTTGGCCTTGATATACCAAACCGCGGGTCTTTTAAAAAATTTAGTTCACTTATCCAAAGTTAAAACAAATTCCAACGGCCCAACGCATGTGGAGATGTTCTTATTTCGAAATTATTTTTGCGATATTCTCTTCAGGTTATTTATTCATATCAAATGACAGCCAGTTTGATAGTTATCATTAGCTCTTTAGTTGACTTCAAGCTTCACAGAGGGGAAGGAACATCAGAGTGGAAAGTCGAGAGGGGGGGGGGAACAGAAGAGTGTTTCAAAGATGTAAAAGAGACAGACACAAAGGTAGAAAAAAAGGTGAGGTGAGTACTGTGAAAGTGGTGGAATATTCCATGCAGTGGGGTCAATGTAATTAGAAGTCAGAAGTCAACTGCCGGTAAATATACTTTTTTGTAGTAAGATTATACGTTGTCCAGACTGCACCACGTGGAGGTAGGTCTATCGCACACCCTACTTGCAGATATAAAGG